GTACACTACCAAAGATGTTGAGGGATTCTCTCTTCAAATTTTATTTTGTTTTCCTAATTGCAACTCTTTTCTTTCTCTTTCATCATTTTTGCTTCATGGACACCTAATTTTCGATTTGTATCTATAAGATACCAAATCCACCAATTCAAACAGAAAATAAATTAATCCAAAAAAAAAATCCACTTGAACGTAAACGTAGAGTTTTATTTCTACACTCCACTGTATCTATTTGATATAGTGTTTTTGCTGTTGTTTGTTGATGCGTATTAAAGTCCTAATATTGTAGTTCGTGTTTTGAAGAACGTTGTTGCGAATGCACTTTTGCGCATGTTTTTTTACATGCACGTTTGTGCATGTTCATTTGAGCGAGTGTGCTTGTGCATGTTTGTTGATTTGTATTAATGTCCTAGTATTGTAGTTTGTGTTTTCATGATCCTTTTTGCGAATGCACTTTTGTGTGAGTACTTTTGTGCATGCCTTTGTATATTTACTTATGTGCGTATCTTTCTAGCGATAGTTTTTGTGCACGTTTCTCGATGCGCATTCATGTCCTCGAACTGTAGTACGTATTTTCATGATCGCTTATGGAATCCAATTTTTACCTTGTTCGTGTCCGAATTTGGATTTTTCACGTTAGACAGGAATTGTAGCCAGCTGAAATAGCTTTCTAATGCCGCCGGAACCAGTTGATTTGGAGTCCGGATGAGAAAGTTATGCTCGACTTCGTGGACGTACACTACCAAAGATTTTGAGGGATTCTCTCTTCTAATTTGATTTTATTTTCCTAATTGCAACTCTTTTCTTTCTCTTTGATCATTTTTGCTTCCTGGACACCTAATTTTCGATTTGTACCTATAAGATACCAAATCCACCAATTCAAACAAAAAATAAATTAATCAAAAAAAAGAATCCACGTAAACGTAAACGTAGAGTTTTATTTCTACACTCCACTGTATCTATTTGATCTAGTGTTTTTGCTGTTGTTTGTTGATGCGTATTAAAGTCCTAGTATTGTAGTTCGTGTTTTGAAGAACGTTGTTGCGAATGCACTTTCGCGCATGTTTTTTTACATGTACGTTTGTGCATGTCCATTTGAGCGAGTGTGCTTGTGCATGTTTGTTGATTTGTATTAATGTCCTAGGATTGTAGTTTGTGTTTTCATGATCCTTTTTCCGAATGCACTTTTGCGTGAGTACTTTTGTGCATGCCTTTGTATACTTACTAATGTGCGTATCTTTCTAGCGACAGTTTTTGTTCATGTTTCTCGATGCGCATTCATGTCCTCGAACTGTAGTACGTATTTTCATGATCGCTTTTGGAATCGAATTTTGACCATGTAAACCTAAACGTAGAGTTTTATTTCTACACTCCACTGTATCATTTTTATCTACTGTTTTTGCTGTTGTTTGTTGATGCGTATTAAAGTCCTAGTGTTGAAGTTCGTGTTTTTAAGAACGTTGTTGCGAATGCACTTTTGCGCAGGTTTTTTTACATGTACATTTGTGCATGTCCATTTGAGCGAGTGTGAATGTTTGTTGATTTGTATTAATGTCCTAGGATTGAAGCTTGTGTTTTCATGATCCTTTTTGCGAATGCACTTTTGCGTGAGTACTTTTGTGCATGCTTTTGTACACATACTTATGTGCGTATCTTTCTATCGAGAGTTTGTATGCACGTTGCCTGATGCGCATTCATGTCCTCGAGCAGTAGTACGTATTTTCATGATCGCTTTTGTAATCCAATTTTTACCATGTTCGAGTACGAATTCGGATTTTTCACGTGAGACAGGAATTGTAGCCAGTTGAAATAGCTTTCTTATGCCGCTGGAACTAGTTGATTTGGAGTCCGGATGAGAAAGTTATGCTCGACTTCGTGGACGTACACTACCAAAGATGTTGAGGGATTCTCTCTTCTAATTTGATTTTTTTTTCCTAATTGCAACTCTTTTCTTTCTCTTTGATCATTTTTGCTTCCTGGACACCTTATTTTCGATTTGTACTCATAAGATACCAAATCCGCCAATTCAAAAAGAAATATAAATTAATCCCAAAAAAAAAATCCATGTAAACGTGATCGTAGAGTTTTATTTCTACACTCCACTGTATCTTTTTTATATAGTGTTTTTGCTGTTGTTTGTTGATGCGTATTAATGTTCTTGTACTGTAGTTCGTGTTTTTAAGAACGTTGTTGCGAATGCACTTTTGCGTGAGTACTTTTGTGCATGCTTTTGTACACTTACTTATGTGCGTATCTTTCTAGCGAGAGTTTTTGTGCACGTTTCTTGATGCGCATTCATGTCCTCGAGCTGTAGTACGTATTTTCATGATCGCTTTTGGAATCCAATTTTGACCATGTTCGAGTTCGAATTTGGATTTTTCACGTTAGACAGGAATTGTAGCCAGCTGAAATAGCTTTCTAATGCAGCCAGAACTAGTTGATTTGGAGTCCGGATGATAAAGTTATGCTCAACTTCGTGGACGTACACTACCAAAGATGTTGAGGGATTCTCTCTTCTAATTTGATTTTATTTTCCTAATTGCAACTCTTTTCTTTCTCTTTGATCATTTTTGATTCCTGCACACCTAATTTTCGATTTGTACCTATAAGATACCAAATCCACCAATTTAAACAGAAAATAAATTAATCCAAAAAAAAAAAAATCCACGTAAACGTAAAAGTAGAGTTTTATTTCTACACTCCACTGTATCATTTTTATCTAGTGTTTTTGCTGTTGTTTGTTGATGCGTATTAAAGTCCTAGTATTGTAGTTCGTGTTTTTAAGAACGTTGTTGCGAATGCACTTTTGCGCATGTTTGTTTACATGTACGTTTGTGCATGTCCATTTGAGCGAGTGTGCTTGTGCATGTTTGTTGATTTGTATTAATGTCCTAGGACTGTAGTTTGTGTTTTCATGATCCTTTTTGCGAATGCACTTTTGCGTGAGTACTTTTGTGCAAGCCTTTTGTACACTTACTTATGTGCGTATCTTTCTAGCGACAGTTTTTGTGCACGTTTCTCGATGCGCATTCATGTCCTCGAACTGTAGTACGTATTTTCATGATCGCTTTTGGAATCCAATTTTGATAATGTTCGAGTCCGCATTTGGATTTTGACCATGTTCGAGTCCGAATTGTAGTACGTATTTTCATGATCGCTTATGGAATTGTAGCCAGCTGAAATAGCTTTCTTATGCCGCCGGAACCAGTTGATTTGGAGTCCGGATGAGAAAGTTATGCTTGACTTCGTGGACGTACACTACCAAAGATTTTGAGGGATTCTCTCTTCTAATTTGATTTTATTTTCCTAATTGCAACTCTTTTCTTTCTCTTTGATCATTTTTGCTTCATGGACACCCCTATTTTCGATTTGTACCTATAAGATACAAAATCCACCAATTCAAACAGAAAATAAATTTATCAAAAAAAAAAATCCACGTAAACGAAAACGTAGAGTTTTATTTCTACACTCCACTGTATCTATTTTATCTAGTGTAGGCCAAAATGGCCGACTGGCGACGAAATTTGGCGACGAAAATGTCTATTTGGCGACGATTTTTTACTGTTTGCGACGAATTATGTTCGTCGCCAAATCCTACAAAAAACGTCGCCAAACGTCCTGTCGCAAGGTCGGCGATGAAAAGTCATTTTCGACGCAACGTTTGGCGACGAATTTCATAAATCGTCACAACATTCGTATTTTCTGGAAAAAAATGTTTTTTTAATATTCGCGACGGATCCTATACTTTCGTCGCTGCCCAGTTGCGACGAATAAAGAATAAGTCGCAAACATTGGCGACGAATTATGTTTTCGTCGCTATATTCAGCGACGTTTTGTGACGGTTTTGTCGCTACGTTTGTGAAAAATGTTTGCGACTAATAGCCTTTTTCGTCGCAAGGCCCACGATTTATTTGCGACGATTTGTTTTATTTATTCGTCGCTAGGTTTTTTTTTTTTTAATATAATTTCTGGTTTATTTATTTTTTCAATTAACAAATTCAACCTGTATTCAGCAGTTGTACAAAAAAAAAATACACTTATATCGAAAATATTAAAACCAATTATACGGATTAAATATCAAGGTTGCACAAAACATAAATTAAAAAAGTACATAAAAGCTTAAAAGCATATAATGTAGTGTTGCAAAGTTTAGTTCAAAAACCAAACAAAGTGTTGCAATCTTAATTCCAAGCCCTTTGCTTTTTCCGAGCACTTTTTCTATCGCAATTGAGTTGGCCGTGCTTTCGTCACTTCTATCACGAATTGTCTCATCGTACACTCGTTCCAAATCAGCCAGAAATGATTAAGTACACTTGTTTAGCAAAAATTTCGACAGCATAACAACTAATAAATGAACATCCCCAAAAAAACCATCCATGTATGCAACAACATTATTTAAAACAAATATTCATGAGAAATAAGCAACTATTCAACTGTTGTCCAGACACGAATTTAGCGATGACGAATTATTAGATAAACGAACATAGTTGTTTCTTGGAAAAAATGGCGTGCCTAAACAGTATGGAACTTGAAATAAATAAAATGAATGTATATACTATTTATCACTTGCATCTTGTTGTCTATTATTTGATAAACACAGCACAAACACGAACACGACACTTCGAATGAAAGAAATGATTGGAATTTATTTAACTAAGAAAACATATTTTGATATGATGAAATCAACAGTTTCAAGAAAATACCTTGGTTGTGATACTTAGGCCGGTAAGTAGAAGCCAAGCTTTCCCAATCAACAACCTGCTTTCCCCATCTTCATCAACCATAAACCTCTTTGTTGTATTAGTTAAATCAGTCCCAAAAATCCTCTTCTTCGAGTCTACAATTCCATTATCGAGTCTAATGTTAAGAAATTTATTATTGTATCTTTCATTTAAGCAATAAAGCAAGATAAATAAATAAGGTAAAGGTATCTTACTTCTAGTAGTCATTGAAGTGTGCTTTCCGTCACCGAGCAAAAGCTTTGCTGCATCTTCGAGAGAAATCAAATCCATCTGAATTTGAAGACAATTTATATTCATAAGATGCCAACCAAACAGATATCAATATTAATGTTCGACATGAAATATACTTACATCGGTGCAGAGAAACAGCTTAACGAAATTCTGTGTAAGAAACCCAAGAGACTTTTCCTTCCTATTCTCACCTATATACAAAAATGAAAATTCTAAGGAAAGAGTTAAAGGAAAGAAATACAAAAACATGGTAATAACATGAATGATCAATCTACCACACTTCAAAAACACACACACACACACACACACACACACACACACACACACACACACACTCCAGACCCAACCACAAGAAAAATAACATTTTCTTTTTCTTCTTAGCCAATCTAATCAACAAAGAATCCCCATAAACATAGCACAACCAGAAACACGTGTCGTATACAATAATACATACATTGCTGGAGAAAATCATGTAAAACGCAGAAACACCCAAAAAAAAATTAAAAATTAAAAAAAGGGGGTTTTGCAATTAACCATAATTTCACGAATCGCGGTGGGGGAAACGCCGTCGCCATCTTTGCACTGCTTGAATTTCTTAATCGCAATGGATTTGGAGCGGTTCGCCTTAATCTTCGCCAAGAAAACCAAACCGTATGTTCCCTCTCCGATTTTCCCAATCACATCGTATTACTCGAGCCACTCCGGCTTACTACTCGAATTGCCCGCCCTCCCATCCCCCATATATGCTCCACCTGCTTTGAAGCGGCAGAGAGATGGGCGGAGGAGAGCAGCGGCGGACGGCGGACGGCGGAGAGCAGCGGCAACGGCAGACTGCGGCGGCGGAGGCGGAGGGGGAGGACCCGGCGGAGGGGAAGATTGAAAGAGAGAGAGAAACGAAAAGAAAATCGGAGAAAATGGGGAAAGGGGGATTAGGGCCTGATTTCTAATTCATTTTTTTGCGACGATTCCTAACAAATCGTCGCCAATTCAGATTTAAATGAATCTAGTAGCGACGTTTTCATCTCTTTCGTCGCAAACCAAAAAAAATTAAATAGATTTGCGACGTTTCTGTAAGAACCGTCGCTATAGAAAAGCGAGGTTTTTCTATAATTATTTTGGCGACGATTCATACACTATAGTCGCAAATAATAATTATAATTCTTTTAACAAAGTATTTTACTTGCGACGAATACACTATTTTCGTCGCTACGAATAAATATAATTTCATATTTCCTCTTTATTACGCTACGTTTATCCTTATTCGTCGCCAACCCAATAATTTTTTTTTTCACAATTGCTCTAGCGACGTATACGTCATATTCGTCGCGAAGGTAAAAAAATAAATTGCAAAAAATATTTTTCATGCGTCGGTTATATAAAAACGTCGCTACGAGAGTGCTTTATTATTTTTTTTCCCTTTGCGACGTTTTATTGACATTAGTCGCATACTGGCGACGATTATTTTTATCGTCGCGAGATATTCCATCGAAATCTTATTTTCCGATATCTTGCGACGTTTTTTAGTCAAAATGGTCGCAAACTAGCGACGAATCCGGAATCGTCGCCAAAAAAAACGTCACAAGTGAGCTGTTTTGGCCTAGTGATTTTGCTGTTGTTTATTGATGCGTATTAAAGTCCTAGTATTGTAGTTCGTGTTTTTAAATACGTTGTTGCGAATGCACTTTTGCGCATGTTTTTTTACATGTACGTTTGTGCATGTCCATTTGAGCGATTGTGCTTGTGCATGTTTGTTGATTTGTATTAATGTCCTAGGATTGTAGTTTGTGTTTTCATGATCCTTTTTGCGAATGCACTTTTGCGTGAGTACTTTTGTGCATGCTTTTGTACACTTACTTATGTGCGTATTTTTCTAGCGAGAGTTTTTTGTGCACGTTTCTTGATGCGCATTCATGTCCTCGAACTGTAGTACGTATTTTCATGATCGCTTTTGGAATCTAATTTTGACCATGTTCGAGTCCGAATTTGGATTTTTCACGTTACACAGGAATTGTAGCCAGCTGAAATAGCTTTCTAATGCCGCCGGAACCAGTTGATTTGCAGTCCGGATGAGAAAGTTATGCTCGACTTCGTGGACGTACACTACCAAAGATTTTGAGGGATTCTCTCTTCTAGTTTGATTTTATTTTCCTAATTGCAACTTTTTTCTTTCTCTTTGATCATTTTTGCTTCCTGGACACCTTATTTTTCGATTTGTACCGATAAGATACCAAATCCACCAATTCAAACAGAAAATAAATTAATCCAAAAAAAAAAAAATACACGTACACGTAAACGTAGAGTTTTATTTCTACACTCCACTATATCATTTTTATCTAGTGTTTTTGCAGATTTTTGTTGATGCGTATTAAAGTCCTAGTATTGAAGTTCGTGTTTTTAAGAACGTTGTTGCGAATGCACTTTTGCTCATATTTTTTTACATGTACGTCTGTGCATGTCCATTTGAGCGAGTGTGCTTGTGCATGTTTGTTGATTTGTATTAATGTCCTAGGATTGAAGTTTGTGTTTTCATGATCCTTTTTGCGAATGCACTTTTGCGTGAGTACTTTTGTGCATGCTTTTGTACACTTACTTATGTGCGTATCTTTCTAGAGAGATTTTTTGTGCACGTTTCTTGATGCGCATTCATGTCCTCGAACTGTAGTATGTATTTTCATGATCGCTTTTGCAATCCAATTTTCACCATGTTCGAGTCCGAATGTGGATTTTTCACATTAGACAGAAATTGTAGCCAACTGAAATCGCTTTCTAATGCCGCCGGAACCAGTTGATTTGGAGTCCGGATGAGAAAGTTATGCTCGACTTCGTGGACGTACACTACCAAAGATGTTGAGGGATTCTCTCTTCTAATTTGATTTTATTTTCCTAATTGCAACTCTTCTCTTTCTCTTTGATCATTTTTGCTTCCTGGACATCCCTATTTTCGATTTGTACCTATTAGATACAAAATCCACCAATTAAAACAGAAAATAAATTAATCCAAAAAAAATCCACGTAAACGTAAACGTAGAGTTTTATTTCTACACTCCACTGTATCTATTTTATCTAGTGTTTTTGCTGTTGTTTATTGATGTGTATTAAACTCCTAGTATTGTAGTTCGTGTTTTTAAGAACGTTGTTGCGAATGCTGTTTTGCGCATGTTTTTTTACATGTACGTTTGGCATTGTCCATTTGAGCGAGTGTGCTTGTGCATGTTTGTTGATTTGTATTAATGTCCTAGGATTGTATTTTGTGTTTTCATGATCCTTTTTGCGAATGCACTTTTGCGTGAGTACTTTTGTGCATGCTTTTGTACACTTACTTATGTGCGTATCTTTCTAGCGAGAGTTTTTTGTGCACGTTTCTTGATGCGCATTCATGTCCTCGAACTATAGTACGTATTTTCATGATCGCTTTTAGAATCTAATTTTGACCATGTTCGAGTCCGAATTTGGATTTTTCACGTTAGACAGGAATTGTAGCCAGCTGAAATAGCTTTCTAATGCTGCCAGAACCAGTTGATTTGGAGTGTCCATGAGAAAGTTATGCTCGACTTCGTGGACGTACACTACCAAATATATTGAGGGATTATCGCTTCTAATTTGATTTTATTTTCCTAATTGCAACTCTTTTCTTTCTCTTTGATCATTTTTGCTTCCTGGACACCTAATTTTCGATTTGTACCTATAAGATACCAAATCCACCCATTCAAACAGAAAACAAATTAATCCAAAAAAATAATACACGTAAACGTAAACGTAGAGATTTATTTCACACTCCACTATATCATTTTTATCTAGTGTTTTTGCTGTTGTTTGTTGATGGGTATTAAAGTCCTAGTATTGGAGTTCATGTTTTTAAGAACGTTGTTGCGAATGCACTTTTGCTCATATTTTTTTACATGTACGTTTGTGCATGTCCATTTGAGCGAGTGTGCTTGTGCATGTTTGTTGATTTGTATTAATGTCCTAGGATTGTAGTTGGTGTTTTCATGATCCTTTTTGCGAATTCACTTTTGCGTGTGTACTTTTGTGCATTCTTTTGTACACTTACTTATGTGTGTATCTTTCTAGCGAGAGTTTTTGTGCACGTTTCTTGATGCGCATTCATGTCCTCGAATTGTAGTACGTATTTTCATGATCGCTTTTGGAATCCAATTTGACCATGTTCGAGTTCGAATTTGGATTTTTCATGTTACAAAGGAATTGTAGCCAGCTGAAATAGCTTTCTAATGCCGCCGGAACCAGTTGATTTGGAGTCCGGATGAGAAAGTTATGCTCGACTTCGTGGACGTACACTTCCAAAGATTTTGAGGGATTCTCTCTTCTAATTTGATTTTATTTTCCTAATTGCAACTCTTTTCTTTCTCTTAGATCATTTTTGCTTCCTGGACACCTAATCTTCGATTTGTACCTATAAGATACCAAATCCACCAATTCAAACAGAAAATAAATTAATCCAAAAAAAAATACACGTACACGTAAACGTAGAGTTTTATTTCTACACTCCACTGTATCATTTTTATCTAGTGTTTTTGCTGTTGTTTGTTGATGCGTATTAAAGTCCTAGTATTGTAGTTCGATTTCTTAAGAACGTTGTTGCGAATGCAATTTTGCGCATGTTTTTTTACATGTACGTTTCGGCATGTCCATTTGAGCGACTGTGCTTGTGCATGTTTGTTGATTTGTATTAATGTCCCAGGATTGTTGTTTGTGTTTTCATGATCCTTTTTGCGAATGCACTTTTGCGTGAGTAATTTTGTGAATGCTTTTGTGCACTTACTTATGTGCGTATCTTTCTAGCGAGATTTTTTATGCACGTTTCTTGATGCGCATTCATGTCCTCGAACTGTAGTACGTATTTTCATGATCGCTTTTGCAATCCAATTTTGACCATGTTCGAGTCCGAATTTGGATTTTTCACATTAGACAGGAATTGTAGCCAGCTGAAATAGCTTTCTAATGCCGCCAGAACCAATTGATTTGGAGTCCGGATGAGAAAGTTATGCTCGACTTCGTGGACGTACACTACCAAAGATGTTGAGGGATTCTCTCTTCTTATTTGATTTTATTTTCCTAATTGCAACTCTTTTCTTTCTCTTTGATCATTTTTGCTTCCTGGACACCTAATTTACGATTTGTACCTATAAGATACCAAATCCACCAATTCAAACAGAAAATAAATTAATCCAAAAAAAAAATACACGTAAACGTAAACG